TTTAGAACTGATAAAATATGAGTACAGAAAAGAAATCTTGACTATTTAACTAAGGTGTGGTTATCTATTACACTCTACAGCTTAAACAGCTCTTTCTCAGAATGTTTACTAACATTTAAACTTTCCATCTGCACTATCTTTGGATAACATTTATCTTAGTTTGCCTGTATCAACATAGAAGCACAGACAGAGTACAATCTAAGCTCTGGTATAGGCCGAGGGCCTTGCGCCCCTAGCAGGGCCTCATAGGTAGGTAGTAAATGTGGGTGGCCAGAAACATGGACGGGTGGACAGACAGGTGTACACCTGGTCAGAAGGACTGTGGGGAGATGGAACTATGAAGCTTAGATGATTAAAAATAGAATTGTACTCTTACCGAGTGAGAAAATATGAGACATAGTCAAGATTTTCTTTAACAACTTAATACCCTTCTTAAAACAGTCAGTTACAAATATCTTAATTCCATTCAAAAAGCAGGTTCTTCTACATCATTTTACCCTCCACAAAGAATACACTATCCCTCCCCAGTTTACCCATTCACACACTTAAAAAGTGAAACAGATCTCCCAAAAATTAACCCAGTGATACACCAGCCTTTTCAGCTAGATTTAAGTTCTGACACTGGGATTTGCTCAAAGGTTCCAAAACAGACACAAATATAGTGAAGCAGAGAGCTGGAGATGAGAATTCACAAGGGCTGACATTCCCGAAAATAACGTCCATGCTTGCTTTTACACAACCCTAACAGTTGAAACGCTTGGTAACTCACACCTCTAAATCATGAATTGGGGAAATCCATTCAGAGGGTGAACGCTTTGGAGGCTGGGACAGTGATACTGTCATCATCACATCTCAGGAGTCCACCCGGCACTAGCACACAGCAGGTGCTCAATGCGTGTGTGTACTGGATGAAGGAGAGAATGAAGTATCGGTGCCCGAGGACCTGAGTCACAAGTAAAACACAACCCAAGACTCTCGCATCTGAACTTGATGTGTCAGAAAGCAGATTATACAAATACTGCAAGTATCTGGTTTATATAGAAAATATCCTTCCCCACAAAAGACTGCCTTGTAAGTATTTCATAAAACCACAAATCCATCCCGCAATTTAGTGAGAGAAAAGATAAAGGACAGACAGAGAAAGAGAAGGAAGAGAAAAGGAATACAACCATCAAAGGTTGGTGGGTCCATTGGATGGTCCCTAAATCTATACCCATAGATGAGGCAATGGTGCCTCATAGAATGAAGACAGTTCCATGTGTTTTTTCATTTCTTTATATTTATTTGAAGCCTTCGACTTAGCCAAAGCTAAGTATAAAGTGCACAAGGAAAGTAATGACTCTGGGGTTGAGAGTTAATAAAATTCTGGAATTAAAAAAAAAAATTATCAATGGCAGTCAAGAGCACAAACTAAGCCAAGATCTAATTGTATTATACTTTCATGAATGTAAAAAACATTATGAAATATTTAATAATCTACCAAACTCCACATTTTTCATCTACCCAGGGATTCTACAGACTTGCATGCAATTATCCCTTCAGTTAAATACACGGCACTTGGCAAGTGCTGGATTCACAGCCACCTCCGTGTTCCAAGTAGTCCTGGGCCACTTCAAATGCTCAGAGCTCTTCCCCTCCATTCCCAGACAGGTTCAGCTGACAGGATCAGGCTGCTTGTTTTAATCCAGTGCTGCTGCACTATTCGCCTATCCCTTACCCGTGAGCCCCTGGGCAGGGGATTTTTCTAATTTTCTTTATTCTCATCTTGCCAGCACTGCTAAAATTGAATGAAAGAAAAAAGGAAGAGGGCTCTGCAATCACTAAACATCATGTCACATTGTCCACCGAAATGCTGACCACACCCTCTGATTCCTACAAGACCCCAGAACTGAGCTTAGTTTTTAAAAAGAGATGTAACTGTTTGCATTATCTGTGCTGTTTCCGCTCTCTGCCTGCCATCAAGCCATTTGTGATACAAACGGCACGCGGCAGAGTCATCAAGCCCTGATCACGCCATAACCTGGGGAGTGTCTTATTTATATCCAAGGTCAACATGATCTCAATATAACTGATTTTAGGCAACATTACTTTTCTATACTATTTCATACATAAAAATAGGTGACATAGGTACAATTAGGAAGCGTAACATAAATGTGAACCACCACCAACTAAACCCATAACCAATTTAAGAACACCAATGTTACCATCTCTCTTGAGGAAAGAGTCCCATGGTTTCTGCGGGGACTGGTCGCAGAATCCCTGAGGATACAAAAATCCTTGTATGGACGCCCAAGTCCTGAGATAAAATGGTGTTGGCTGCACATCCTTAACTGATAGATTATTTCAATTTGTTTGGTTGGGTATCATACTGTGTGTAATCTCCTGAAATTTGCTTTTCTGCCCAACATTACACAGGGCCCATCCATGGCTTCCACCTCCATGGATTCAGCCAATGTTTGAATCAACTATGAACTGAAATTTTTGAAAAATATTTACATCTTTCCTGAACATGTACAGGCTTTTTTCCACATCATTGTTCCCGTAATAACAGTATAGCAATGATTTGCACAGCATTTACATTGCATTAGGCGTTATAAGTCATCCAGAAATATTTTAAAGTATATGGGAAGATTTGTGTAGGTTATATGCAAATACTAACGCCATTTTATACTGGGGACTTGAATATCCGAGGGACGTCCTGGGCCAACTCCCCAGGAACACCAAGGAACGATGGTATTTCACAGATGGGTATGTGCTGGGGCGTCAACTGTAGTTCATTCCTTTCCACGGTTGTTTCATCCATTGTGTAAACACAACAGACAAGGACACCCATCTATTTCCTGTCAAGGACCATTTGGGTTCTTTCCAGTTTTTTGGCGTTATGAACAATACAGCTAGATGTATTCTTATACTGTCTCTTGATTCACATGTGTAAGAATTTCTCTGGGGTTTATACATGAGAAAGGAAGTATTGGTGATAGGGAATGCCTGTCTTTAACTTTCCAAGATAATATAAATTGATATCCAAAGTGGTTGTCCTAACTCACATCCCTCTCAGCAGCAGTTTATACGTTTTCATCACTCTACATCTTGCCAACACTTGGTATAAAAGCCTTCTGTTTTCTTGGCATTCTAGCAGGTATTAAACGGCATCCACGGTAGTCTCAGCTCCTCAGGCTGAGGCAGGAGGGCCATGTGAGCCCAGGAACTCAAGAGCAGCCTGGGCAACAATGGGAAACTCTGTCTTCAAGAAAATTAATAAGTGCTTTTTAAAAATGTTCAAATGGCATCTATTTCTGGCCCTAATTTGCATCTTTGCAGACATTTGCTCTTCTGGCTGACCTCTGAATAGTCACTGTAGTGCCTAAGGTCCAGTGAGCATCTTCTCTGTTTGTCATTTCCCTGTAGGACCTCAGCGTGCCCCACAGCGTCAGTAAGACCTCCTCGCTGGTCATGCACAATTATTTTTCCAATCATGACATCTTGTCTGAGCCAGGAGGAAAATGTATCACTTTGCTTAGGACATATTGAAATTGAGGAGCCTGTTATCTGTCTACTTGAAGATGCTAAATTCTCAATTGAATATGGAACTAGTTCACAACGAACTACAGTAGGACCTCTGTAAGATGACCATCCCAGGGGCTGTAACAAACTGGGCCACACGTGGAGGTGGTTGGCATGAGGAGCTGGCCTGCGGTACTGACACATACACATGGTGCATGTCCAGTCCATGAAAATTAGGGCAACTTAAGGAGGTGGTCAATGTAGGGAGGTTCTACTGCGATTTATTTATGTGTTTTTTGTATATTTTAACATCTAAGTTTCACAAGAGAAATCTTTTCTGCCTTGTTCATTACTATGTTTTCAGATACGGAATCTATAACGGCAGCTGGCTCAAAAAACATTTTATTTTGACCCAGAGTTTTGCTTTGTCACCCCAGCTACAGCACAGTGGTGTGATCATAGCTCACTGCAACTTAAACTCCTCCGCTCAAGTGATCCTCCTGCCTCAGCCCCTCAAGTAGCCCAGACCACAAGCACATGCCACCCCACCCAGCTAATATATATATATATATATATTTTTTTTTTTTTTTTTTGGTAGAGATAGAGTCTGGGTGTGTTGCTGAGTCTGGCCTCAAGCAATCCTCCCACCTCAGCCTCCCAAAGCACTGAGCCACTGTGCATAGCCAACAAATATTCATCAAAAAAATAAAATTTGAAACATCCTTCTTCCTGATACCAATAGGCCCCACAAAATGGGGCCTTGGATTCTTTTTATTTTCATGTCAAATTTAATAACCTTAGATAAATTGCTTGATTTGTGAGCTACTCTTTAACTTTAATTTCTCTATGGTTTCTCTGTAAATCAAGTACTCCATCTGAGTCAAACATGCAACTGCACTCACAAAGCCAAAAAGTTCACTTTTATTTTTACTTCTGAGAAAACTCAAGAGAAAAAGCATTTTCTCTACAAAGTCAATTGTAATTTATACTCATTAAGTTATCTGCCTCTTCAGACAATGGATAATAACAGTCTTAGTAATCTGAGGAAAATGCCTGGCTTTTGGCAACTCCTGCTCTACTTTTCAAGATCTGTCATCTGAAACTGCTGAATATTTCTCTATCTTCAAAGCTATGCTATTGAGACACGAAAAAATTGACACAACATCACAGAAGTTAGAAATAGAAACCTCAAAGTATCCTTCCGTGTCAAATATATTATTAATTTGATAAAGATGAAATGTGAGTTTGATCACTATCAGTACACTCAGGCAGCTAGTGGTGGTGTTCTAAGGACACACCACACACAGGGAGCCCGGCTTTGCAGCCACCACCCCAGGCTCACGGTAAACAATCTCCAGTGTAAAAGTTTGAACATGCGGATCAAGAATACTATATTTCTTTTTCGAAAATTTTTTTAATTTTAAAAAACAGACTAAGAAAACCAAATCATTTCCTCCCATAAAACTGTCCTCCTAGTGTTATGAAAATAATTACATAGAACTTGTGTTTCTTTTTAACTTGTGGACAAAGACTTAAGGACAACTCCAAAAAATATATTTGCTTTTGCAATTCAGAACCCAGAACTCACTGTTTAGTGTGAGTTATGATACATATAAGGCTTATATGAAAGAAAGAAAGAAAGAAAGAAAGAAAGAAAGAAAGAAAGAAAGAAAGAATCAGAGGTTCTGATTCCCAGAAGATAACCACTAGTGGGTAACGCAAAAGGAGGGTTTGGTGTCTCACTAATGGCATTTTCACTGGATTTCATTGTACATTATGATGCATTTTAGTCCTGGGAGTACCATAAATTAATGACTTCACACCTGAAAATCTAAGCTTGTCTTCCTTAAATAAAAAAATTAAGGTTGGAAAACTATAGCTCCTTTCTTCAGTATATCTGTTTTTCATGAAATTAGAGCACATACAAGAAACAGGATGATAGTCACCAAGAATGATTAAAACCACGGACTATCACAGAATTGAAAATACCACATTGAAGTATATTTTAAAAATACTATATTTTGGGCCAGCCATGGTGGCTCATGCCTGAAATCCTACAACTTTCGGAGGCCCAGGCAAGTGGATTGCTTGAGCTCAGGAGTTTGAGACCAGCCTGAGCCAGACAGAGACCCTGTCTCTACTGAAAACAGAAAAAACAGGCAGGCATGTGGTGAGAGCTGGTAATTCAGCTACTTGGGAGGCTGAGATAAGAGTATCTCTTGAGCCCAAAAGTTTGAGGTTGCTGTGAGCTATGCTGACACCACAGCACTGTACCCAGGGAGTCAGAGTAAGACTCTGTCTCAAAAAAAAAAAAAAAAAAAAAACTACATGTTTTGGGCGGCACCTGTGGCTCAGTGTGTGGTGCACTGGCCCCATATACCAAGGGTGGAGGGTTCAAACCTGGCCCCGGCCAAACTGCAACAAGAAAATAGTGGGGCATTGTGGTGGGTGCCTGTAGTCCCAGATACTCAGGAGGCTGAGGCAAGAGAATCACCTAAGCCCAAGAGCTGGAGGTTGCTGTGAGCTGTGATGCCACATCACTCTACCAAGAATGACAAAGTAAGACTTTGTCTCTAAAAAAAAAAAAAATACTACATTTTTCCCTGGTGGGACAAACTCCCCCACTCTGTACTTAAAGTCAGAGTAGCAAGAGTGAGAATATAGAGATATTAAATATAATTTCAAAATCTGCCTTTGCCTTTTACTAGTTTGTATGTTTCCTTTTTCAAATACCCACTGAGCACCTACTCTGCCAGGTGCTGTGTGAGTCATATGGCTATAAAATAAAGTAAGATTGGGTCCTCAATGTCAAGTAGTTTAGAGTCTATTAGTTCAGAGTGTACTAATCTAATAATATTATTCCCACTGATGATCAACCAAGTTAAAGAAGACAACACACTTAGCACAAAAGACATTTTTCTTGTATTAAAAAATAAATAACATGTTCATGATTCTTAGCCACATTACACTAACTCGTGTCCTAACTGATTTCCCCTGGCAATTTCAATACACGTCAGAAATAAAAATTTAGACTCATTCAATTCCACTAGCAAAAATTATACAATAAATATTGGCTTGGACATAAAATGAAAGATACTTAAAAAGTTTATTTACGAATTTTCAGTGTGCCTTACTCAATCCTTCAATTCAGTGGAATGGTACAAAAATTCAGTGTATTGATTTTATTTGACAATAAAGACAGTTTTTAAGGTAACATCTTTAGCATGCTGCCATTTAGAAACAGATGCTAAAAAGCCGTCAGAGTATATTGTGCATTCAGCACCCATTGGAAATTCAGAGGTTTTGTTCTTTTCCTTTTTTGATTTGTTTTAATTTCAGAATATTATAGGGGTGCAAATTCTTTGGTTGCCTGAATTACTTTTGCACTGTTTGAGTCAAGTTTATAAGTGTGCCCACCAGCAGATAGTGTATTCCACCTACTAGGTGTGGTCCCCCCCCCCGTCCCCTGCCCCCTCCCTCCCACCTGCTTGATTGCTGCTGAGTTTTACTCCCCTCTGTGTACATGAGTGCTGATCAGTTAGTTCCAATTTAATAGTCAGTACATGGGGTATTTATTTTTCCATGCTTTATTTTTTTAAAGATTTTTTGATTAAATCATAGCTGTGTACATTAATGCAATCATGGGGTACAGTGTGGTGTTTTCATATACATTTTGAAATACTCTCATCAAACTGGTTAACGTAGCCTTCATGTCATTTTCTTAGTTATTGAGTTAAGACTGTTTTCCATGCTCGTGATACTTCCCTCAGGAGAATGGTCTCCAGTTCCATCCAGATTGTTGCAAAAGATATTAATTCATGTTTATGGCTGAGTAGTACTCCACATATCACATTTTGTTAGTCCACTCATGAAATGATGGGCACTGGGGTTGATTCCACACCTTTGCGATTGTGAATTGTGCTGCTATCAACATTCCAGTGCAAGGTCTTTTTTATAAAATGACTTTTCTTTCCTTTGGGTAAATGCCCAGTGGTAGGATTGCTGGATCAAGTTGACAGGTCTCCCTTCAGCTCTTTGAGGATATGTTCCTTTCTCTCCATATCCATGCCCGCATCTAGTGCTTCAGGACTTTTGACAAAAGCCTTTCTCACAGGCGTTAGGTGCGATCTCGTGGTGGTTTCGATTTGCATTTCTCTCACAGTTAGTGACCCCGAGCATTTTCTCATGTGTTTATCGGACACTCGTCTATCTTCTTCCCCCACCCCCTACCCCCAGTGGTCAGAAGGATTTCTTAGAAAGGATTACAGAAGGAATAAAACAGTCTATCTTCTTTAAAAGGTTTCTGTTCCCATCTTTTCCCCACTTTGAATGGAGTTTATGATTTTTTTCTTGCTGATCTGCTTGAGTTCTTTGTAGATTCTGGTAGTTCGCCCTTCACTGAATGTGCCACATGTGAATCTTTCCTCCTGCCTGCAAAGTGTCTGTTTGGGCTGATGACTGCGTCCTTGGCTGTGCAAACCTGCTTTCTTCAATTTAATCAAGTCCCATTCATTTATTTTGTGGTTGCTGTGATTGAAGACCTTGAGGTCTTAAGGAATTCTGGGCCCAGGCCAGTATCTAGAACAGTTTTTCTAACATTTTCTTCTAGAATTTTTGTGGTTTCATATCTTAGATTTAAATTTGTAAGGCATCTTTAATTGATTTTAGTGAGTGATGAGAAGTATAAATCATGTTCCAATCTTCTAAATGTGGCATCTGATTTCCCAGCACCATTTATTGAAGGGGGATTCTTTGCCCCCATATGTATTGCTATCTGCTTTGTCACAGATCAGGTGGCAATATGTGGATGGCTTTCCTCTGGGGTTCTCTCTTCTGTTCTTTCCCTGTTTTTACACCCCTGTCATGCTGCTTTGGGGACGGCAGCCTCGCAGTAGAAAGTCTGGATAGGTGATGCCTCCAGATTGGTTCCTTTTGCTTAAGGAACAATTAGCTTTGGCAATTCAGGCTCTTTCCTGGTTCCAAACAAATCAGAGACTTATTTTTTCCAGATCTCTAAACTATAGTGGTGTTCTGATGAGGACTGCATTGAATCTGTAAATCACTGTAGGCAGTACAGACATTTTAACGGTGCTGATTCTGGTAATCCATGAGCATGGAATGTTCTATGTTTTTCCACCTGTTCACATTATCTCTGATTTTCTTCCTGAGTGACATGTAGTTAGTTCTCTTTGCAGAGAGCTTTTGCCTACTTGATTAAACGTATTCCTAAGTGTTCTATTTTCTTTGTTGCTGTGGGAAAGGCAGTGAGTAGTCCCCAGACCTCCACTTCATAACGATTAGCTGGTTAAATCTAGGAATATAGCCAAGTAGTATTGTTCTGTTTTGAAGAGAACTATTGTACTACTAATTCAGTGGTACACTGGACTCCTATAGGGAACAGGGACTATTTTATGACTACTCTAAAAAGGCAGTATCTTTTCATATAATAAGAGATTACATTACTCTTCAAAAGTCTAGGCTGTTATCAGACCCTGTAATAACAGTGCTAATTATTTGAAATGATCATGAGAAAACAGTAAATTGTCAATTCTCTTGAAACAATAGTTTAATAACCCAACATTACTACTATCTTAACAGCAAGATTCTAATTTAGAGACTTATAAATATCTAAATAATTATGATCCAAATTAAAGAAAATAAATCATTAGTTTAACCTCTCAAAAACTAACCTGGTCTTGATATTATTTCGTTAACATTGAGGATCCACTTTGATACTTTCTATGAATGAATGTGTAAATGCCAAAGTGTTACATAAATGTACAGAATTAGCATTGCCAGTTAATCTCAATATCACCAGACAGATAGTGGTTACATGTGTTGCAGATGGTAAAGGTCTTCAGGAAACAGTCCTTGTATCAAATTAGTATGAAATGAGATTTTAATCAGAAGAAAAGCTCTGTCCTCTTCACTTATGAAAGCAAAAAAAATGCAATATTCCTTTCTCATACACAGGGAAAGTGGCTTTATAAAAATTACTGAATGGCAAACACTCACTTTATTAAGTTCTTGAACAATAAGCCTTTAACAGCCTTGTATGGCCAGTAAGCACACAGACGTACTCTCTCACACACAAGCTCCCAAACCTGGTCTTTCTCGATACTTTATCAATTTATCTGAGTATCCACAGAGAAAAACCATGTTGTTAACTACTTGGTAACATAGTAACCATGGTAACTACCCAGTAACTTCCCTACTTTTAATCTCCCTTTTAACGAACAGAGCATGCTACCGATTCACCATGACTGCACAGACATGATATTAGTTCCTGATGGGTTGTCAAGAAAACATACAAATATCCTAAATATTCACTTAAAAATATTGAAGAGTTTCCACATTGCAGAAACTCACCCTTGGCGAGTTATGAGGGTGACGTCATAAACCCTACAAGGACGTAGATTCCAGGTAGACTCTGGAAAACGTGAAGAACATGGATCTTAAAAGTAGCAGACTGAGTGATATGAGATGCTAAAGCTTCCCAGAACTTTAAGTCTGCCAAGAACCTTACGCCCAGACACCCAAAATATGACACTAAATTACGGATCCAGTAAATAAGATCTCATCAAAGAACATGGACCTGTTCGCTGTAAATTCAATCAAACCTCTTC